CTGAAGTGTCTGTTGCTGCTTCCAGGAAAATATTCTTTCAAACGCTAGTTGTTGCAGGAGTGCTCCAACATAAGCGGGAGAAGGACTATCCTGATAGAATTACAGTTTTCTCCCAAAAGAGTCAGCTCCACAATTATTCCTCCAAAGAACCCCCATGTGATAAGAAAACTACTGGTCAAGGAGAGTAGAAAACCACCCTTTGCATCCCATGTATGTTCTTGCCAAATACCAAGAAAAAGAAAATTCTAGCATCTCAGAGAAATACAAAGAAGCTTCTGCCCTTTCTTTACTTCTCCCAATTTTCTCCATGAAAACAGAGGCGTGAATTAATCAGTTCTTGAAATAGCAAAAGTCTGACGTCTGCCTAGGTTACATTTCTTTACTTGGAAGGATTAAGGCCATGAAGACCACTACATTCATGTACATTGCTTCCTTTCGGCGTTTTCACTAGGCATAGTGTGAAGCAGACCGTGATCCTGAATTCAACTCTCCCAACTCTCCACATACAAAGTTACTAGCACTATATTTGGGGAGGGGGGCAGTGTCATCCTGACCACTAATAAAGCTGGTACTTGGAATTGAGATGGGTATTAATAATGGGGAACCTTAGATATCAAAGAGAGAATTTTATGCATTTGAAGATGAAGAGAATATAAAAATTGTGATAATTATTATGAATAATTTTCAGGGTTGCTTTGAGCAAATTACATGTACGTAGGTGGATAGCATTTATTGAGATCAAGAAGTCCGAAGAAAGAATTGTTGGGGTCGGGGGCATATCTAGAGTCCAATATTAACATGTAAGTTTAGAGAAGTCATGAAGATATCCAAGAAGAGACTTTAATAAAATGCACACACACACACGCACACACACAATAGAACACATCAATCTTGAATTCAATCCTGATCCCTCTCTGAAAAAAGAGAAAGTCCAGTTAAGCATTGTAAAGATTTACCTGTCACCCTTGTTCCTTCACTGAAGCAGGTTAGACCTGAATGATATACATGTAGTTCAGACAGCCTTTTGTCAATTTTGCCATGTGTAAAATGATAAGTCACTGTGAAGGAAGAGCAAGGATTAGTGTTCATCGATCTTTTGCTATAGAGCCTTATTCTCTATGTCTGTGTCGTGCCGGTTTACCTCCAACCCCCACTCTTTTCTCTACACAAGCCCAATTATGACCATGCAGAATTATTGCTTGCTTGTATTCATTTACCTTATTTCTTTGTTTGTATGTCTGCCCCTTTACTTGTGGTCTTTTCCCCCCTAGAATTTAAGCTCCATATATCTAGAGCTGAGATTCTACTTGTTTTCTACATCAATCACAAATGCCTAGAATAGTGACTGTGACAAAGTCATCAATAGATATTTATCAACTCACTGGATGTCTGCTTCTCCTTAATTTTAACAACCATGTAGCAAGCACACAGCTTATTTCGATGTTTTCTAAATATTTCTAACTGTATGTAGTCACAGATAAACATATGGGGTAAATAACAAACAAGGGGAGACTTTAAACGTTTATGGAGACATTGTAAATTAACTTTATGTTCATGGATGTACACATTAAACAGGGCCTATTCTCTCTCAGGTCCTGACCTGATTCTTCACTCATTTCTTTTGTGTCCTTCTACTCTTGGGCTCAGTACAGTTAAACCTTTCTTTTAGACTCTGTTTTGGGGTTCTGAATTTCTGTTTCTTCTTGAATTAATGAATTAATTCTTAAACCCCCTTCTCTCTTGCACTTGATTATGAAAAGCAAACCAAACTCTAACTTTAGCGATGATTATTTGTGTTTTACTAAACACTACGAGATTTATTTACATCTTCAAGGGAACTGCAGCCATGATCTGTTTGACACAGGAAGTCACTTTCACTCCCTCCCAGACCATTCAATAATATTTTCAATCACTTCATCAGTGAATAGAGGACCAAACTGTGGATTGGAGAGCAGGAAGTTCTTTGACACCTTTCACACAATGAACTTGAGATATGTATTTGGAGGCAAATAGAACAGGGAAGAAATATTGTATTCTCTTTATCTCCGTTATTTCATTTGAACACTTTTTCCTCTCATATTTGGAAAGACTCCAACATGAATCAAAGACTGTAATCTAAAGTACGACAACTATAAAAGCAAGTAGAGTTGGACTCCCATTGGAGGGGTTTTGTGACTAGAGAACACATGATCACTAGTGGACCCAGTCTGGGAAGATGGTGTCTTAGATGATGGCTGCAAGGACATGACATGCGTATGTGAGGCTGTGATTCAGAAAAATGCTGATAAAACTGATAAAGTAAATCTACAAGAGTCAGTTATCAAAAGATAAAGGAATGGCAGGAAACAGGGGAGGAGAAATCAAGAAAGTGTGGCATTTCAAGTAAGAGCTGACATAGTAATGGGGTAAAGGAGAACATACTGCAGGGAATCTTTTTAGAATATATGAGGGAAAGAGACCAAGGGAAACGCAAGTCAGTGGAGAACTTACCCACACAGCTCACAATGAAACAAACACTGAGGAGTGCCATGGAAATCACAGCAACACACCAGAGCCTCAGGCACCAACAGACTCCTTTCTCTGCAAGATCAGCAAGACGAATGCAATTAATTACCAGAGGGCCAGGGAGCCAGAATCTCCAGGAAGCTCAGAGCAATGACAAAACTGGATGAAGAACTTCAGAGTAATTAAAAACTTCAAGCAAGATGAGAGCTTGCAAAGTTTCTCCAAATAAATAACCAGGTAGTAGCTCTGAAGCCCAAAACAATTTGGGCAAAATGCATCCTCCACAGACTGTAATTTCCCTTTCCTTATTCTTTCTTCTTAAATATTACATTCTTCTGTTGATTTCCTATCTTTCTCAAAACATCACTTTTGTCTCCCACTTCTCATATCCCTGTATTAATATTTGGTTTCTTTAGAATATCAAAGAGATATCTGCACTCCCGCATTTATTGCAGCACTATTCACAATAGCCAAGATATGGAATCAACCTAAGTGTCCATGAACAGATGAATGGATAAAGAAAATGTGTTATACATACACAATGGAATATTATTCTACCATTAAAAAATATGAAATCCTGTTATTTGCAACACATGGGTGGAACTGAAGGACAACATGTTAAATGAAATTAGGCAGGCCCAGAAAGACAAAGTTAGTATGTTCTCATTCATATGTGAGAGCTAAAAAAAAAAAAACCTGATCACATAGAGAGTAGTGAATAGAATGGTGGTTACCAGAGGCTGGAAAGGGTAGTGGGGAGGGAGCGATAAAGAGGGGTTGGTTAATGGGTACAAAAATACAATTAGATAGAAGGAATAAGATCTAGCATTTGGTAGCACAATAGGGCAACTATAGTTAATGATAATTTATATTATATTTCAAAATAGCTAGAAGAGTAGATCTGGAATGCTCTCAACACAAAGAAATGATAAATATTTCAGGCGATGGATATCCCAATTACCCAGATATGATCATAATGCATTATATATTTGTATCAAAATATCAGAATGTATCAAAATATCACATGTATCCCATAAATATGTACAACTACTATGTAGCCATATGATTTTTTTAGTAAAAATAAAAAATACTATTCATGGAAATGCAAAGAGTTGGAGCTAAAGTCAAATTTTCATGCACTAAAAAAAGGGAGAATTTTTTCCTTCTGAAAAGAATGAGAAAGGAGTACAAAAAGTAAGCCAGGGTGATTTGAAAGAATATTGCTGTCTGAATTTCAAAAATAGTCAAAGGACTTTTAAGAACAGAGATATTTAATAATGTATTTTTCAGCTATTTACATTTTACTGTGTAAATCTCCTCTGTTTCCCTCAACTTTTGATAAAATCTGCTATAAGCTCCCTACCCCCAAAATATGCATATTTGGTATCTTATTCTTTCAAGCGCTTCTCTCTCTGAGGCAGTACTCTTTCTTTCACGAGTCTACTATGTCGATTCAATCACTAGCCCTTCAGTCTGTTCATTGTCTACCTCTTCTCTCCCGATGATTCTTACCATCTCCTCACACGCTTCTATTAGACCTTTCTTTGTGGAACTGGAAAGGGAATGCTCACCTTGAGGTCTCCCTTCTTGCACCATCATGTGGGCTCCCTGTGTTCAGAAGGTCCAGGAACCTTCTGTATCTTTCTCCCTGAAGATGTTACCCAGAGACCTGGCTTCATTCAAAGAGGCCAGATCTTGGAAACATATGGCTACACATTCTGATAAGACTAAGAGATTTCCAATACTAAGTATACTTGAAAAGAGGAAGTCATAGTTTCAACTAAAGTTTCCAGTGATTTAAAGACATAGAAAAAAACAAGAGGTATTGAGAAATGTACTGAGAATAGTTCATGAGAATTTTGACAAGAATACTCGTATCATTTCTTCAGTTACTAACATAAAATTTCTCTCTCTGATTCCTGTTCATTCTTGCGTGCAAAATAGAAAAC